GGCATCTTCATATTGTTATGTTTGTTAAAACCCTATCCAGTCCAGGCATCTTCATATTGTTATGTTCGTTAAAACCCTATCCAGTCCAGGCATCTTCACATTATTATGCTTGTTTAAACCTTATCCAGTCCAGGCATCTTCACATTGTTATGTTTGTTAAAACCCTATCCAGTCCAAGCATTTTCACATTAACGTTTGAACCTTATCTAGTCCAGGCATTTTCACATTAATTACCTGTTTGTTTAAACACTATCCAGTTCAAGCATCTTCATGTCACATTTGTTTAAACCCTATCCAGTCTAAATATCTTCATATGTCATGTTTGTTTAAACCTTACTAAGTCTATGCACATTCACATTAATGTTGAGTGTGATCAATACATTTCCTATCCATGCACAGCCAGACTAATGTGAAATCTGTTTAAAACATTACCATTCAGAAATATTTACAGCAATTACACTACAGAAGAAAGGACATAGCTTTGAAGAATGACACACTATAACCTTTATTTTTAAATGACGAAAAAAAAACATACTATAACCCAAAATGATAACAAACTTCTAGCCACACCAAATCATCATGTTGTAAGTATTTTAATTCAAATTTTTCAAGCAGAAAAAGAGATTGAAAGAAAAGAAAGTCACCATAAAAAAAAACATTATTTGGTTATCGGTTATCTAGAACATTCAATAATAAAAATCATTCTGTAAAAACTTTACATGGTCATTTTGGGAGAAATTATATACTTTACTATAACTATATTAGTAAATTATATTTTAACCAGGTAAAAAATTATTTTAGCAAATTTGGCCAGTATGTTTCATACACTACCCCTCCTACATTTGACAAAAATGGAAAGAACAGGCCAGACTCATTATCCAATCTGTCACGCAGCCTGTAGATTTCTCCCTTAAACCTGATCAGTAGTGGATAAATGAAAGAAACCAACAGACATTATATTATTAAAAAGTTTCATATGTTCATGTGAAATCTCAGAGAATATTAAATTTGGACTTGCCTTACAACACCTTACATTGGAATGATATGGCAGACAAATGTTCAATGTAGAACTCTTACCTCCGTATATTACATCACCTGTATGGTTAAAAGTTATTTGACACTGGTCTAAGGCTGGCACCGTATGTAGCAGGTGGAATGTCCTTAAGTCCCACTAGATGGCAGTTAGTCAAGGAAATGCTGGTCACAAAGTAGTGAAACTTATATTCTATAACAGCAATAAAAATGCATTTCTGTAATAAATCACATAAATATTTAACAGTTACAAGTGAAGTAGTCAACACTTTTCAAAACAACATCAAAGCTCCCAAAAGACCAAACATAGTTTGAAAACAAAGGTTTTTCTTCGACCCCTAAGAGTAAGTTATGAAACATTATTTTCTGCTTTCATAATTTTGCTAGAAATATGTCAAATCAGAAATAATTAGAGAATTATTTTTCTATACTTCATGGTAACATAAAATAATAAAGAACTTTGCCCTATTTTTAAAATGTTTATGTTGTACAAATTACAAGTAGATTTTTTGCTTCTAAAAGTTAAATAACTAACACTGAATATCATAGATATTGATATGAAAATTCTACAGTTAAACATTCTTTGGTAAGTTTAAATTTAAGTTCTTCTCCAAGTGAAAATGAAAGGTACATTTCTCATTTATTTTTTTGTTTGCTGAATTTTGTGCAATGTTACTTGAGGGCTACCTGCATAAGCCGTCCCTAATTTAGAAGTAAGAGACCAGAGGGAAGTGAGCTAGTCAACACCACCCACAGCCATCTCTTGGGCTACTCTTTACCAATGAACAGTAAGATTGACCATTATATTATAATGCCCTCATGGCTGAAAGAGAAAGCATGTTCAGTGATGGGATTCAAACCCATGACACACAGATTGTGAGTCAAGTGCCCTAACCACCAGGCCATGCCAGAGCCATTAATTTTGGATTGTTTATTGTGCTTTAAAGTCTAAAAAAAAATAGAATAAAAGCAATTATCTATGAAATATGATATCAACATATCCTAAGGACTTATTTAATGACAAAAACACAGACATCTCTGAAAATGACAATAAAACAAATATCAGATAGAGGGTTGAGTTTGTTGTATTAAATCGACTTTGAATATGCTAATCAGCAAGTCACAGGGCAACCACAGCCCATATTAAGTCATGGTGGCATAGAAAATGTCAGAACTATAATTTAACATTGTTTGGCAATTTTTACATAGTGTGATGCCAACAAAAATTGACTGTTTTGGGGAATAATATGTAACAGCCATTTCCAACACAAAATATTCATACACTTAGTTCATAATGTGTTAAAATCAGGGATTGGAATTTTGAAGACAAGGATATCTTACATACTTCATGGAATTGGAAACAAAGTAATATAAATCAACTATGGTCACTAGGACCATCCAGTAAAAGACCTGCAACAAGTCCTACCCCAGCCATGTTAACCAAAGTATGTCTTCTTGTAACAGGTGAAAATCCATGTCCACAATGGTCAATGGCAAAAACTGTCCAGATATTTCATAAAATAGTATGCAACATAATCAAAAAGAATCTTCTTCTGTAAAAGTAAGACAAGCCAAAGATTCTTCTTGATTATGTTCATCTTGTGTACACGTGGCTTGTCTTACTTTTACAGATGTGTGTACACAAGATGCTTCCATGATATTCAACCACTTCACACATCAAGCAAATGAAGAATGAAATGGGTATTCATAGTACTTCATATGAAAACATACCATTCAAGTCACTAGATGCAGTACCTATAGATTTCAGTGCAATTGGGCTATTGAAACAGGTGCTAAGAAACCATCATCCTTCCTCATACACTAGAGATTATGGAAACACTTTACAGAGGACTGGTGTACTTTGACATGACAGCCTTATGATGGAGTTTTTTTAAACAGAATTTAAGCTGCAGGGCTACTGTCAAGATGCACAGTCGTCAGACAGAATATGACTGGATGTGGTGACATGGATTGTAAATAACATAGTGAGGCTCCAAAATTGTTTTAATATAAGTATTATACTATTTTAAGTTATTTAATAACCTTCTTCTAGGGTTAAAAAAAGTATATCAATAAAATATTTAGAAGATATTAAGTCTTAGATAGCACATACTATGACTCAGTAACTACAATAAAATACATACCAAACTATAAACTGTCAAACAACATCAGTTAAAAATTAACTTCAGGATAGCTGCTCATAATCAAAACACATAAAAAAAAGAAGAAAAACTTTTAAAAAGGATACAATCTCAGAGTTAGAAATAATTTCTAGTCCATTGGGATGGAAGACACCATTAATATGAGAGTTGAATTTGTCAAACTTGTGAATTACTGTACCACCTCGTACATCCCACAACACACCATCTGAAAGAACCAATTCATCCGTGGGGTCAAATGTCGCTCTGTTTTTGGTGTAGTTGTTGGAGAGGTCGGGATCTCGTAAAGTCTGAAGAAGCTGTCCAGTTGCTAAGTCGTATATCTAAAAGCCAAAATAAATATTGCGCAAATATGAATGTCAAGTTGGTAATAAAACGATTCTACTTTGATGATCTCTGAAAACAAAACTTTACAGAGTTGGAATTGTTTGTCTTCTTTGTTTATTTAATACTATTATTATCATAATAAGCTGTTCAGAGCACCTCTGTTTGAAAATTTAAGGTATGAATTATGGTGACAAAGTTAAATAATAAAAGTTCCTGTGTGTCATATAACCTGATACCACAGCATTCTTTACCTCACCAATTTTCCATTTAAAAGTTATAATAAAAAGTTAATAATATCTTGCTTCTGATCTCTTCTTTTTTATTTACTAGAAATCATATTTAGGAGAGTAAAATCACATGGTAATAATTAAGTACTATAAAGCAAGTACCTAATTATTTGTAATGGCTGTGTAAAATCATTTGATAACTAGTAACAATTGAACTGAATAATTTAATGACTTTTTATAGCAGTATTTAATATGTGTGTGTGATTTTGAACCATAATAAAATCACTGATAACATTACAAGCCACACCAATCTCTACAAATCCAGTAAGAAAAAATGTATAACAGCATTTCAACAATGCCTTGTCTGTTGCACATTACTGCCAACGAGACCTTTCCCAAGTCATCAGGCTGAATTGGCCACAGGTGAAATTGCCTTAGGTGAAATGTTATTTATGTCAATAGCTAATGTTTTATATTGTTTAAAAAATATAGTAAACAGAATGGGGGTGGGGACTTTCTCCCTTTTTATTTTACCTTTTCAAATTCAAACTTTTATATTACCCAAGTTTCAATTTCTCAATTTTAAAAAGAAATATTCAAAAAATTCTCAACCTTCATTTTTCTGTGTCAAGTGACATGTCTGAGATTTGAATTCTGTACTTCAGAATTTTCTAACTTCTAAAATAGATTGCTGTAGTTTCCAGCCAATTTCAAAACACAAACTATCCACAATTACAAGCAAGAATCTCAAAATCTGAACAACCTATCTTCTTAATTTACTACTATATTAATAAATTTGTCCAACCCACCAAGAATCCTTGCCCCTCTCTCCAGCTTTTGAAATTGTTTACTAACAAACCTTACATGGCTGATTAACATGTTTATAACCAAAAGAAATAACAATTCTCTTCTATATCAAGCTTACAACAGAATTTTTTTTTATCTACTTATAGCTTACATAGAAAGCCAGGTAAATTACAATAGTTTTAGGAGATCCTATGATCTACTTATAGCTTACATAGAAAGCCAGGTAAATTACAATAGTTTTAGGAGATCCTATGATCTACTTATAGCTTACATAGAAAGCCAGGTAAATTACAATAGTTTTAGGAGATCTTATTCTAGTAGTTGATATATATTTTAGACCTAAATGTGTAAGGTTCACAGTTACACTGCGGGAACAAAAATAATGTGGTGCTTACATAAGCTTTAAGGGAAAGAGATAATGGACTTTCACTGTGACTTATTACTTTTGATGGAAAACAAGCTCTTTTTCCTTTAAAGTACAGGCAATAATGCCATAAAATTAAAAGAAAACAAATGTGAAAAGGTTAACAGTGAAATTGTAAAGATAAAGACATAACTTGAAAATAGTTACACAAATTATACATTTACAGAAAATGACAAATAATATTTTTCATTTTACTGTAAAGTGGTTATTTCACCACAGTCAGCATTAGGGTAGAGAAAACAAGAGATAACATATAGTTTGGTTCTAGAGGTTTTGTAAATAAAATATGAAGATAATAATAACAAGTATTTTCATTCTTACCATGACAGTGATCTCTCACTCAGACTGATTAAGTAAAGGCTTTTAAGTTCAAAAACAAACCTTTAGTAAAATTACTTTATTAAAAAATCTGATTTTTTGTGTACAACAGACTTTTAATGCTTATTAAGAGCTAGTCATCACTTAGTGTATTCAGAATGATAGTACGTATAGTTTCATGGTTCCAAGGTATTTTCAATCGATTCATTTGACTTTTTGTTGTTTGGCTTAAATTTTGCTATATGTAAAACTGTACAAAGTTGTTAATTTAACCCTTCTTTGAAAAATAAAGAAAGCAACCTTAAACCTTGCATAACCTAATTAGTGATTTTAAACTGTCAACTAAAAGCATATTGCACATTTCAAGAGAAAACATATTGTTATGATAATGTCTAAAAATAAGCATTCCTTTGATATATTTTATATATTTCTCTCATCACTTTCTTCTACTTCAATTTTCTTTTCTTTCAAAGACCATCTAAAACTGTTAAATTTGAGAATCCATTCTTGGTTAGATGATGCTTCAGCTTCTTGTCAGTCTTCTACTGAAGATGTTCTATGTCCATCCAAAGCATCTTTTTTTCTCTCATTTATGTCCATGATGTCTTGATCATACACACTTTTCTTTGTCTGGTACCTTTCAAACTCTCAATAAGCCTGAAAATACTGTTAGCATATTTGTCTAGAAATTTTAGCATCAGAATTCATGCTTGGAGTGATATTGATTTTCCTACATCTCAAACTTTAGCTACGGCATCTTGGCTTATTCTTTGAATGTATGGCCATTTTCTTTTTGTTCAGAACAGTAATATTAGAGATGGCTGAAAATTCTCTTTGTACAATGGTCTGTCTATGTGACAAAACTAACACCAGATTAACTAAGTACCATAATTCCAAGTTTGTTTGTTTTTTCTACCAGTTGTTCAGCAAGAACATTATACATAGTCACCTTTATACTGCTGTACAGAAGAAAATGGTTATGTTGACTTCATTTTACAGAAAGCATTTGAATTTGTCTTGACCCTATCACATTTTTGTTCTGGAAAACATTTTAATATAATAAAATTCCCTCCGGACTCTTCAGACTCTTGGCTATTATAGATGAATTCTGGTATATCATTTCACACCAAACTCACTTTGATGGGAGTCTTGAAAAGTAACTTTTTCAACAGATGACACAGGCATTTCCTTGCTTTCATGCAGAATTCTAACACAACTTTCTTACCAGCTTTTCTAGGTACTAACAGTTCTTTAAGTATTTTATCAGCTGAAAAGCCAATGTCAAATTGTGTAATTAGGCAACTTCATATTTTGAAAGCTTGCACGTATTATCAAGTCCTTTCACAGTTTCAGACTTTTAAGATACTAAGTATGATACAACAGGGTGTTTCAGGAATTAAAGGCAATTAATACAACAAGCGATTGTGACTTCACATTCCAAAGAAGGAAAGGATAGGTTCCTGGGATTCACAAAACACGACCGACATGACTTTACAAGAGGATGGTTGTGTTTTGAATGTTTTGGGCAGTGGTGACTGTGGATATTTCAACTGCATTCTCTGTCTTTACATCCTGGGAACATTGCAATAGCTGGGTACACATCCACACAATTCTGTTTTGGAATGTTTGTCAATTGCTTTGGGACCCAATGGGCAGCTTTTGCCAACTTCATTAACAAGTTTAGCAATCCCTATTCATCAGTTATCATGTATATCTGTGTCCACTTTAACAGTATTGAACAGGGGTGACACTGTTGGGACGAGCCTTGAGCTTATTTTACACATTCTTTATCCTATTAACAATTTTAAGACCAAAATTTCCTCAAACGAGTCTTGAGCTTATTTTACACATTCTTTATCCTATTAACAATTTTACGACCAAATTTCCTCAAACGAGTCTTGAACTTATTTTACACATTCTTTATCCTATTAACTATTTTAAGACCAAATTTCCTCAAACGAGTCTTGAGCATATTTTACACATTCTTTATCCTATTAACTATTTTAAGACCAAATTTCCTCAAACGAGTCTTGAGCATATTTTACACATTCTTTA